TTTTGAAACCTTTTTTTTTTTTTTTGGTCCGGACGTGGGGCCTGAACTCTGGGCCTTGGCGCTGTCCCTCAGCTCTTCAGCTCAAGGCTGGCACTCTACCACTTGAGCCACAGCGCCACTCCGGCTTTTTTCTTTTTGCTTATGTGGTGCTGAGGAATCGAACCCAGGGCCTCAGGCATGCAAGGCAAGCGCTCTACCACTGAGCCATCTTCCCAGCCCCTCACATGGAATTTTGAAAACAGTACCTCTCCTCAAGAGAGAGAGAGAGAGTGTGTGAATGCTTGAACTCAGGGTCTAGACAGTATCCTTGAACTTTTGTGCTCAAGGTTAGCACTCTGCCACTTGAACTTCTGCCTTTTTGGTAGTTAATTGGAGATAGGAGTCTCATGGATTTTCCTGCTTTGGCCTGGCTTTTAACCACAGTCTTCAGATCTCATCTTCCTGAGTATCAAGGATTACAGGCATGAACCACATCCCAGAAAGAATCCTTGTTTTATCTGAGAAATGAGCTTAGATTTTATGCTATCCTTGATTCTATGTGATTATATATGTTCTTACTTTGTAAGTGGACATCAGGAGACAGAAGGCAGGTTATATTTTGGAAAACAAAAAGGACAAATGAGGTCTCCAAGTTACTTACTTCCTGGCCTAGTATATGAGACCCTCACACATCTCCCTGGGGCAACCCTTCCACTTCTACCAAGAGATGGGGACCTGGGCTAGGAAGCCCACTCTATCAGCATGATTTAGGAACACAAATCAGGAAACTTCTCTCTCATTAAGGTGAAGAAAGATTCATCACAATCTTGAAAGGCATGAAAAAAGCAAACTATCTTTGAGTCCTCACATTTCTTAGGAAACCTGGCTTATAGTGAATGAATCTCAGTCATCATCCCCAGTGAGAATTTTAGCTCATCTAAACACAATGTTATTGAAGTTTGTTTTTTTTTTTACATTTCTTACTAGTATAGGATGGGTGTGTTACCACTTCTCACCACTAGAGAGCAAAACAAGGGCAGGAAGGCCAAGATCAGTCTAAATCAAAGCAGCCTTCTCCTTTCTATTCTATTCACCAACTCCTCTAATCACATCCTGAGTCCCACACAGCCTAAGCCACCATGCTCAGGCTCTGTCTCTGTCCCAGTCATCCTCCTTTTTTGTTTTTTGGGTGTTTTTTGGGTGTAGGGAGGTGGACAAATTAAACACTTCACCACCTCATGCCTTAATGTATTCTCTATCCCCTGTTTTCCACAGTCGTCCCTCTGCCTGGCTCTTCCTTCTTGCCCTCTAGTATCCGTTTCAGTGCCAATCAGTCAGTCTTCCTGATGAGTTGGTTGAACCAAGCTTCCACCCTGTCACTGTGTCTCACCATTTCAGGTTAGTGTCCTGAAAGGCATGCACAGTAAGGGGCAGCAAAGCATTCTGCAAACCCTCAAATGTCCCAGGATTCACCTGCGCAACTCTGCCCTGCAAGAACACCAGCCACAGACTACAGCCTATGAAGGAGGGTGGTTGCTGTCCAGTAAGTTTTACTCATAAATTGGGTGGTGGGCTAGGTTTGACTTCTAGGCCATTGCTGGCCAATCCTTGGTCTTCCATACAATATCTGGCATTTTCCTTACTTTTCCACTGTCTGCTCTCTAATTCTGTTCACTGTTGTTGCTCTATGCCAGAACAGGGCCTGGCATACAGCTGACCCGGGATGCCTGTTAAACACTTGCAGGAGTAAATGTCTGGGGAACTGCATTGCTCTCCAAAACCCCAGACAATCTGTGGACTTCTCGTTCCCTTTCTTCCAGCCCCTTTTCCCTGGTAATCTAGCTTTCACTTTCTCATCATGACTACACCTGTACCAGTGGACAGGTGACCACCACAATCTGGGGATCACAGCGCAAGCACTGGAAGGTGATGTGATTCAACCCAGAAGGAAAGGTTGGCAGCGCCTCATTACACAAGTGTGCTTCACTTCTGGTGAAGCTGCTGCTGCCAACATTGTCCCCTTTTCTAAAATATTACTAGACACCTCCCCACTGTCTAATACTTCAATTAAGACAAATAAACTGCTTTTTTGTTTTTAATTATATTATTTACTTCCCATTAGTGATAGTTTACAAGAAAATTGGTGATTTGAGACCATTTAGCCAAGTCGGTGAGGGGCTGTGTATGTCTCCCCACTCAGAATTCCCATTCTGTCTCCGTAGTCAGGGTCTGCACCTGCCTAGACAATCTAACTCTGTGTCACCTCATCTTCATCAGACCACCCAGAACTGATGAATAGCTCTTTTTTTAACCTGATAAGTAATACAGGAAAATTGTATAAACTCTAAAGGTACCATGTGATGTTCTGCTACATGCACACATTATGTGATGTTTAAATGAGTTAAAACTTGAGCATCTCTTCAAACCTATATTATTTCTTTACAGAAAGAAAATGCACCAATTTCCTTTCTTGTTGGTTTTTGAAAGATATAATAGAATGGTACTCTGTGCAGGCATACTTCTATGGGATCACACATCAGAACTTCTTACGTTTGTCTATGATGTAGTAAAATTTTATCTACCCTTCTCCATCTCTCCCTATCCAGTTAAAGTCTGCAACTTCTGGTAGCCCTCATCATTCCCTATTTTCCATGAGATCAGCCTTTTTCAACCTATATCCTTCATGTAACTGAAGCACTTGTCATTAAGGGTTTAGCTAACTTCATTTGATTCATCCAAGGCACAAATCAAAGTATTTCTTTTATGTCTGAATAATATTCCATTGTGTATATGTATCTCATTTTCTTTATCCACTCATGGGTTGATGGCTTTGTAGGTTGTTTCTATTTCTTAACTATTGTGAATAGTGCTAACAAAATCATGGATACAAGGTATGCCTTTGGAAAAATACCTGGTAGTGAGGTTGTTGGATCACATCCTGAGTTTTGCTTTTAATTTTTGAGAAACCTCCATACTATTTCCCAGCAACCATGTGCAGATTTCTTTTTCTCCACTTTATTGCTAGCTTCTGATAACTTGTTTTTCTAACAATCATTCTTATTGGAAAGAGGTAGAATGTTTATTGTGGTTTTGATTTGCATTCCTCTGATGACCAGTAATGTCCATTGTTTTATATCCATAATGATCATTATAAAACATTACTTCTGAAAGATTACTTTTTAGATCTGTTAACCAATTTTAACTGTTTCTTTACTGTTGGTGGTGTTCCTTTCATTTTCTGAATATTACCATTGTCAAAGGCATAGTGTGTAAACATTTTTGTCTTGTTGTATAGGTTGTCTCTGTACTCTGATGGTTATTTACTCTTACTTTTTAGTTTGATGCAAGCCCACTTATTTATTTTTGCTTTTTGTCCCTTTACTTCTTGGTCATCTAAAAATACCTCTCAAAAAACACAGCTATCATATTTGGTGTGTAACGTGAAGGAATGGATGGAGTTGGGAGAGATAGAAGAGGGTAGAAGGGGTGTCAAGATGCATTTTACTACCAACTGACCAGTTGAATTGAAACCTCTGTTGTGCAACTACTTAAGGGTAATTTTTAAAATTCCCTGTCCATTCCAATGAGCTTTCTTCTAGCTGTTCATAGGTTTAGAGCCTCCTCTTAATTCTTTATTTCATTTTGAGTGGATCTGTAAAGTCTGGGAGATAAGGGACTGTGTTCTACTCTGGCACATGCACACCTGCAGCATTTATTCCATCACTGCCCTGGTCCCAGTATCTTAGTCAAAAAACAGTTGGCTATAGATTTGTGGGTGTACTTCGAGACTTTCTATTCTAAGATTCCCTTGGTTTGTTGTGTTTTTAAGCTAGTTTGTGCTATTTTGAATACTACCACTTTGTAGTTTGTTTTGAAGTTACATCATGTAATGTGTTTTGCTTTATTCTTTTTACTTGAGATTGCTTTAGATGTGTGTGTGTGTGTGTGTGTGTGTGTGTGTGTGTGTGTGTGTGTGTGTGGTTGCATATAAAGTTTAGGATAGTTTTTTGTTTTTGTTTTTTTTTGGGGGGGAAGGGGTCAGGTCATGGGGCCTGAACTCTGGGCCTGGGCACTGTCCCTCAGCTCTTCAGCTCAAGGCTAGCACTCTACCACTTGAGCCACAGCACCACTTCTGGCTTTTTTCTTTTTGCTTATGTGGTGCTGAGGAATCGAACCCAGGACCTCTGGCATGCAAGGCAAGCGCTCTACCACTGAGCTACCTTCCAGCCTTAGGATAGATTTTTTTTTAGCTCTGTAAAACTCATTGGTGTTTTCATGACAATTGCACTGAATCTAGAGATACTTCAAATAGAATAGATTTAAAAAAAATTTTTTTTTTTTTGGTCAGTCATGGGCCTTGAACTCTGGTCCTGGACACTGACTTTCAGCTCTTCAGCTCAAAGTGCTCTACCACTTGAGCCACAGTACCACTTCCAGTTTTCTGGGTAGCTTATTGGAGATAAGAGTCTCATGGACTTCCTACCTGGGCTGACTTTGAATCATGATCCTCAGATCTCAGCCTTCTAAGTAGCTAGGATTACAGGTATAAACCACTGATGCCTTGCTCAAATAGAATAGATATTTTAACAAAATTGTTTCTTCTAATCCATGAACATGGCATGGCTTTCCTTGTTTTTCCTCTATCTTCATCTAATTATTTCATCAATGTGTCACACTTTCCATCATTGTGGGTTTTTATCTCCCTGGTTAAATTTAGTCTTAGACATTTTTCCTTATTTTTTGTACCTATTTTAAATGTAATTGCTCAATCAATTAAAAAAATAGACACAGATATACAATGGATTATTATTCTTTCAAAAATACTTCATAAAACCCTATCAATTATAACAACATGGATGGAACTGGAAAGTATTATGTTATGTGAAATAAACCAAATACTGAAACACAGACACCATGTGTATTTACTCCTTTACAGAAGCTAAAATTTTAAATCTTCTGCAAACAGAAAGGATTATAAAATTCACTAGGAGTTGCAAAAAAGTAAGAGAGGGAGTGTAGAGAAAAAGTAAATCATGGGTAATTAAATACAACTGTGGGAACTATTTCTGATGTTTTATAGCAAAACAAGCCACTTTGATATACAACAAAAGCTACAAATTTCAAGAATTTGAATATTTTTTCAATTAACCATTTATAATTTTGAGAACTAAAAATTTCTATTACCCCGATTTTGTGATTGCCTGTTTTATACCTGTATTAAATTACAAAACTGTGCCAACCAAGAGTAAAAATATCACATCGATGAAAATAAACTTTAAACATCTGAGTTAAACTAAACCTATTTGAAAAGCTTTTCTTGGGGCTGGGAAGGTGGCTCAGTGGTAGAGTGCTTGCCTTGCATGCCTGAGGCCCTGGGTTCGATTCCTCAGCACCACATAAGCAAAAAGAAAAAAGCCAGAAGTGGCGCTGTGGCTCAAGTGGTAGGGCGCTAGCCTTGAGCTGAAGAGCTGAGGGACAGTGCCCAGGCCCAGAGTTCACGACTGGACCCAAAAAAAAAAAAAAAAAAAAAGCTTTTCTTCCCATCATCTCTTTGTAGATCATCTGCCTATTCTTGCTCCAGTCAAGAAGCATGAGTCAGGCACAACTCCTAAGTGGATGGCATGCACTCTGCATAAACAATTCCATGCTTACTTGTGGTATATATCTGTTCTAAGACACATGGTGGATGGCTGAAACTATGTTTATGATTAAACTCTCCATACTGTTTTCCCATATGCAAATACATCTCTAATAATGTTTGACTAAATATTAGGCACAGTAAGAGATCCACAACAATAGTCACTCGTAGTAAAATAGAACAACATGACAACCCACTAGAACAAAATGGCTAACATCTCTACTCCAGCTCGTTGGGACCATCACTGGGCTAATGTAAGGAACACACAGCTCTGCAGCCTTGGATGTTAGATCTGACACCCAGATGCCTCTGATTGGCTGATGAGCACCTGTACACAGCACCCAAGTACTGCTCAAAGGGGTGATTTAGGTCTCCAGGCAACAGAACAGAACAGCATCAGATTTCATCTTACTACACAGAATGGTACACAATTGAAAATTTGTAAATCAATTTCCATTGCTTATCCATGACTGAGAGTAGGTGAATCAAACCTTAGAAAGAAAATAACATGAAAGGGGTAGAATACTGGTTTTGTAAATAATGAATTATTGGAAATACCAATCATGTTCAGTTATGTCTTCAAAGCTGAATTACCACTTAATCACATTTTTAAAAAAAACAACCCAACAGCATACATTGAAAACAGAGAAAGGGCCCACCACCATGTATAAAATTAAGTTTTATTTTAAAATTTATAATTTATATACTTCTTAAACAAATGAAAACTCAAAAAGTACTAGGGGATAATGTTAGCACCGAATATTAACAGAATATTGGCCCAGTTCATCAGTTATGATGATGTTTACTGGAGTAAACATGTAACACTTCCATATCCCAAGTGGTGTCTTCAGGGATTCCAGGGTATACACCACACCTCAGACACTGGCCAGGTTGAAGATGAAGTCCCTCCTGGTAGCATCATCCAGCAGCTCACACAGTTGGGAAGCTGGCATATGAGGCAATGCCGCAGTAGTTGTTTTCATCTCGGGCTATCTTTATATAGCCCCGTATGCCCCAATTTGTCCCCCAGCTGAAAAAAAAGGGAAAGTTTTCTACTTAATAAAAATAATACGGCACATTGATTTTAAACACTGAACCAGGGACCACAACGTAAGAGAACCAATTGAGATAAACAGATGTTCTTCTTCTTCATTTATGTTTTGTTAAGTATAATGCATAGAACTTTCACCCTCAAATGCAAACAATTACCTTACATAAATTTGCAAAGTTCAGAATTAGAGATAGGGTGAGATGCCTTTCTAGTAATGTCTGTTAGAGATGTAAGAACTTTCTCTGACTTTGGAAATGCATTGGTACGAAGGCCATATGAATAGCCTCAGAAAGCACATGACAGAATCCACACATTTGTGGTTCTATAACTCAGAGAAGGAGTTTTGGAACCTCTAGCCAAATATTGACTGTGAACAGTTCTCTTTTGGAATTCCCTTTAAGAATGGATTTTGGCTATTTCTACCTGTTCTTAACCAGCCAGTATTTTCTGATCTGTGATTGCTGCCTTTCGTATCCATAGCCAACCACCAGAACAGCATGAGTCACACTTGTGTTGCTGCAAGCCGGTTCATCATAAATACCTGAAGAAGAAAACCAAGGCTGAGATAAGATTCCAGAACCTGACAGTAACCCAGTATAATAAAAAAAAAACAAGGCATTTCTAAATTCACTAAATTGATATAAGATTTAAAAATAAAATCAACTAGTTGGAATTAACTTGACAAGTTTAGGACACAATGTATAGCAGTGGAAAACAGTGAAGCATTTTATCTTGCAAATCCTGTTTTTATCATGAACAAAACAATCTTGAATAGAACCTTTAATGGGAAGAAATTAACAGCTGAGTTTGTGAGTAGAGCCCTTATCAGAACTACATCTTTTGTTCAACATGTCTATTTGTCTGGATAAATACTTGCTGGGATGAACTGGTATCTGATGTGTTGCACTACACACCTAACTTATAGTGCCAAAATGGCCTCATCTAATGCTTGCAGACACATTAAAGGTGTCTTGCCAGAAGTTCTTGCACAATAGGGTGAATAAAAAATAAATGAAATAAAATATATTGTTAGCAAGGCTAGAAATTTGGGCTTTCATCAGAAATGCAAATTGGCACAAATCCTCTTGTAAAAAATCTTGTCTAGAGGCATGCAAGAGTATTCTATGAATTTTGTTAGTCTACCTATATGAACTAAGTCCAAGGAAACAGCACATAAAACTACATCACATGAATACGGAGGTTCTGTGAAGATTTAATTACAGAAATACAGTCTCTGGTGAATACTTTAACATCCAATAATCAGACTGGACTAAATAAATTGAGCTATGTAATAAATGAAGTAGCTACATTTAAAAGAAATACCCTCAGATCATATGGATACCCTTACAGTAATTAATATCAAGTGGATACAAGACATAGAATGTAAAAGCCAAACTCCCAAGTAATTACATTAAATTTTACCTACAAGAGATCATCAAGTTGACATGTCAGGATGGTACTATGGATTTCTGCATGAATTTCTAGAAAGAAATATATTTACCTCCTATATAATAGTTGAAGGAATCATGGCTTGCATCAATAGCAGCAGAAATGGGCCCCACAATGGCCACAGCCCTCTTAAGTGCCTCCTCTGAAGGAGGGATGTACACAGTGCCTGTGTCAGTAGCAGCAGAATACTCAGGTCTGTACCTGCAGGGTCCTTCCTATGGAAGGAAGAGGGAGGAGACTCAATTATTGGCAGGCATTTCCTTGGGAACATGAGTTAGACCCACAACATTCAGGGGTATGCAGCTTAGGGCTTCCAAGTCAATGCTCCTATAAATCTATCTGGACCTGAAACTGAGTTGGACCTAGGAATTGGTGCACAAATCTTCTATGAGACATTGGACATTCTATCCTTGAGAAATGTTCACACTGAAGAAATTTGCATTTTTATGTGCAAGCTTGCACATCTCAAGTTACACAAAAGCAAGCACAACTCCATGGGCAACTATCTCATCAGAGAACTGTGCAGAACTAATAGTTTATCATCACAGCACTGAAGCCTTACAGAGATAGATTCTGTCCTCTAACATGTAGATTCTGAAGAAGGTTTTCCCCAAAGCTGGGCTGGAACATAAGGAGTTCTGTTTACCTGGTCTTCATATGGATAGGCTGCTTCTGAGTCCAGGCCTCCATTCTCGTAAACATACTCGAAGGCATGATCCATCCAGCCACCACTGCATCCGTAATTACCTTGAGGCTGAGAACAGTCCACTAGGTTTTGTTTACTCAGTGCTACTAGTCTGCCAGTTTTCCGGAACATCTGTCCTTCTAGGGCCCCAGCAGCACTAAAAGCCCAACACGCATTACAAGCACCCTGAAAAATGAATAAATAAGTAGACAAATAATAAGACTAAGATAAAAATTTGCCTAGCTGAGTATTGTCAATACTCTAGCATTGACTAAATCAAGGAACTGATTTCATTTTTGGCAGTGAAAGGGATGCATGTGACATGCTCATACCTGATTCATCACGGGGGTCACATAGCCTCTTCCTCTCCAATCCACGTAGTCTGGGACATCACCAGTCAGCCTTTCCTGGAATACGGTCCCTTTCTTTTTCTTAGGGATTTTCAAGCCCATCATCCTTTCCCTAATTTCTTTTTTTGTCTTTAAGAAAAAGTAAATAAAAATATTGAAAAGCAGGATATTATTTTGTACAGGAGTGCAAGAAGAGCGAGCCCAGAGGTAAGCAAGGCACACCACACTCACCATGTCTCCAAAGTCATTCATTGCCAAGGTGAAGCTGTGCTTCCCTTCTTTGTACTCCTCATTGTGTATTTCAATCATTTTCATATTCTTCTCCCATATGGCTCTCCTATATAGCTCTTCGTTCTACAAGTAAACAGAAATGATGATTCTCTCCTCTGTACATCACCTTTATAATAACAATAAAAGAAATTTATAAGTGATGATTCTCTTTCTACTTCAATCTAGCCCACGTTCACCGAGAGGCCCTGCTGACAAACATGAAGTCTGGGGACGGCTTTATACTTCTGGATGCTGTTCCATACCCACAGGAAACATGTATTTTTCCCCCACATTGTGCTTACATTTGATGTCATTAGTACTGCTTTGGAAAACCTTGGCTTATAGAAACCATTCTCATGCGGGAGACTATCGAGAGGAAGGACTAGTTTCTCCCAATTCCCTCTAAATACGTTCAATGTTACTAACCATGTCATATGTTTTTCCATACATTAACTTCCACTCCTGCCATTTTGCATCAAAACGATAATCCAATATTGGAAGAGCTGAGGCCAATCCCAAGCAAAGAATAGCCAGGAGGAGAGAAGGATTCATGTTGCAAGAGCCTAGAAAGGGACAAGAAATCACTCTAATTAAACAACGTTTCTAAAATGCCTTCTTATTCACATGAGTAAAATTAAAGACATCATGGTGAACAGAATATTTAAACTGTTCTTCTAAGTATTTATGTAATAGCTGTCAATGTTTGAGGATGTGTTTGGATTAAAAATGTTGTATTTGGTCAGTTCAACAGAATTAATAGCAGGCTTTCCAAGGTTTTAGGACTTCACACCAAGTATGCAAGGACTTAAGTTTTAAGAATTATATGAATGTATCATGGTTCAGAAGCTTAAAGCAACATCTAAGAAATCTGGATATAATGTGTCCAGCTATTCTGCCAAGGATAATGAGATCAAAGAGCAAACTTTCCTTGCTGAGGCCTCTCCTCCTGAGTACCAGTTATCATAACTCCACCACCCAGAAGACTGCCAGTGTGCAATGGGAAATGATAATGTCCTGAAACCTTCTGTTCTTTTTTTTTTTTGTCAGTTGTGGGGCCTGAACTCTGGGCCTGGGCGCTGTCCCTCAGCTCTTCAGCTCAAGGCTAGCGCTCTACCACTTGAGCCACAGTGCCACTTCCTGCCTTTTCTGCTTAGCTGGTACTGAGGAATTGCAAACCCAGGGCCTCATGCCTGCAAGGCAAGCACTCTACCACTAAGCCACCTTTCTTGAAGAACACCTTTCTAGAATATTCCCCCAGGGAGAAACTGAGAGGCTAGAACCCTCCCCAATCCCCATCCCCAAGCCCCAACACATAGTGATGACTGTGCTTCCAGTATCTCAGATCACTGTCCAATCCAGAGACTGGGGTACAAGGCCAAATCATTGGAAGCCAAAGTCACTAGTATCAATATCAGATGTCACTATAATATCAGATGGCTCCCCAACTTTCACACTTAAGGCTTAGCTAGCTCACTGTGCTGCATCCGAGCCAGGAGCATGCCATCTGTGCACAGGAGCTGATACCTAAAGGTGGCACCTGGGTGTTATGGGCAACAGGTTGCTCCCTTTGGCATAGGAAGCTCTGAAAATGGCAGCCCAGGAAGCTGGGCCATGCTCAGACCTACACTGCCTGGGATCCTGTACATACTGCGGATCTTGTAACTCCTGTGTCCCCCTAACAACCTCTTACTCTATCACATATCAGGGCTGCTGGCAGTTGAAAAGAGTCATCTTGCATTCTCCACTTCACCCCAGTCCAGTTTCCTCCTTCAATCTCCTTTTCCAATGTATCTTGCACTTACCTGGGACAGCAGCCGCACAGTTGCACTCCACAGACTCAGCTCTTCAGAGGACACTGATGTCCAAGGATCTGATTCAGCTGCACTTGCTTCAAGCTTTAAATCCCCAGTCCATGGCCTGACTGGCTCTCCCACCTTTGACTTGCCTGTCCTGTGATTGCTGGGGTTGGCATCTAAGTAGAACATCCCTATGGGCTATGGGTTATGGGGCTGCGGATAAGTGCTGAGTATAGGTTCCAACCTCAGGAAGGAGCAGGGTGTGGCTGCCACAGTAGCCTGAGAGGAAATAAAAAGGAAGACCATGTTGGAGGAAAGAAATTTACAGATAATCCTGTGTGAGTTCCCCCCACCCTTCTTTTCCTTTAGCCTTTGGGGTTTTGTTAAAACCTGGAGTGTACGGAGCCATTACACTCGAGTCTAGGCATTCTTTTTGAATGTACAGCAAAGATAGAGTATGGACCAACATGACAGACCCTACAGCCACACCATCTCCCTGTTTTAGAAGGATCTGCAATGAAAAGAAATCTCCAAGACAGTGATGAGACAAGAAAGTCTAGAGATAAAAGGAGCTCTCAGAGGTTCCAGAGCCTTCATGTTGCTTTGGAATGCATCCTTCCTCTTGGTCTTCAGCATGACAATGGAAATAAATTATTTGTAGAAATTTTTATTGAAGAAAATGGATTCAAACGTTTTGGAGTAGCTTTAACTTCACCATCCCTATTATTCTCAATCCTCTTCTTGATATTTAAGAAATCTTCTCTATTGACATGTAATATGAAGATTGAATGCACAGAATATGGGAAAATGTTTTAGACAGAAGAAATACATAAAGAATTATTACACTTATTATTGAAGAATTAAGGAACACAATCCCCAAACAGTCTAAACCTTTGTCATTTCTCAGAAGGTTTTAAAACCACATGACCACTTGAACACTGTTCTATTGTACAAGAAAGTTACAATTAAATAGGTCTGTTAATGTCTAATACTTCTTGATCAGTCACCCCTTCCATCATTCTCTCCTATTTCCTCTGCCCCTCCCCTACACTCAATTCACATTTCCGACTTGCTTCATCACAAATGTACATTGAATATTATGACCATATTCATCTCCCCTTTTCCTTTTCCATTTATCCCCCCCTCCAACTAGACTCCTCAATTCAAACTTTGTTCCAGCTTCCTGACATTCATTTTGTTACACTGATGGTTAATTGTTCAAAGGATTTACTCTATAAAGTTTCACTTCTGCATGTA